GCTGTGTGATGCCTGGCACGACGTCTATTCACCAGCACGTTTTTCCTTCAACACTGCCCCAATACGCTCTAGCTGGGCACAGTATACCTCTTCCCTAAGAGATCGATTACGTGGTAGCAATTCCCAATTAGTTATTCCTCGAATATCCCATCAACAGACAATATGACCTTACGAGGGTGCTGGTCCTGGTTGCACTCTGCTCTTGACGTCTACGGCGGCGTTTCATTCTTCTTGCAAACGGTCCTTCGGCGTTTAACATTTTTTTAAATCACTTCTCATCCCAGTGACCAAATGGGAAATAAACCCTTCCGATTTATTCCTATTCAAGTGAGAAACACTACAAGCCATGCGGTCTCACTTGTTCCTGGTTCATGCTCAGCAGATTGTCGTTTTGTCTTTTCCCATCCAACTGGGGCTTTCGACAACTAGATCCTTTCAACCCTCCAACGCCTGCAAAATATAATCTAGACTAACATCTATAATACAATCGCACAAATAAATACATTCACATTTACAATCCGCTATCGAACTACACACAATAGTAATAAACTAATCTAAATTAGGGTCGATAGAGTACGTTCATAAATATTCTGCCATTGACCCTAAGCAACGCTATATTTTACCATCAACCCTCACCACTCTCATTAATAAACTACCCACATAGACAAAACACAGAGCCAAATACACATAAAACAATCTATATACAATAAATTTAAAAAAATCTTGTCCTCTAAAAAGGGGAACGGGGGACCGAGAAACTCGTTACAATTCCCGAACCATTCTTACATCTGGCGGCATGCCTTACACCCTCCCTATAAAGAGCCAAGGCATGGCAAGCCTTCTAGAGGATTGAAGCTAAAATCAATATAAATTATGTAGTTTTGGAGCAGGTGCGAGTTGTTTTTATTATATCTAGCTTTGCCCATTATGTAAATTTACTCTTCTAACGTGAAGACCGAGTATAAAAAACATATATATTATTGTATTAGACAGTTTATATTCTGCCAGTTTATTATTACAAGCGAGTAACTATTTTAGAAATTTTCCGAATGAAAGCTTATCTTTTAATTTTCGACGAGTGCGACCTAAAATGTGGACTGTTTAAGATAGTAGATAACATGGACATTTTTTGGAGATCAGCTCAACTCTTGACACGGCACGTTGGGGACCAGAATTTCGTTATCGAAAATGAGCTAGATTTTTGTTTCGTTTTTAACGTTGGAAGAGAAATTTTTCAAAACGATTTTACGTAACGTCTCGCTTTCCTGGTTTTGAGCCCGTCAATAATTAACAATCCATGCAGTGTGAAAATTCAGATATGCAGTACATTGAAGCATGTTGAAATGATACATTTTTCTTTCAAAAATATATGATTTTTCAATGATTTGAAGGTGTATCTGAAATGTACTTAAAGATATCTGGACACGTTAAACGATTGGAGTTGTTCAACTGATTTATATAATTCTGTAAAGTCTGGGATACATTTTAGGTTGTACTAGAGAATGGGTTTGCTGGTAAATGAGAGTTTGTAAGTTGATCCATCAACTTCCAACCATTGAACTGGACCACTGTCCAGCTGTCATCACTACTGGGCCAAGTGGTTGGCTGTACCTTTTTTTTAAGAATGAATTTATCCTAAATTGTTCTGCAAAGTTGAATTTCAAGGACATTGCCGTAATTTACATCTTGGAAGTTGGTTTACCTATTTGTATCACTTGAATGTTTATTGACCTTCCATTTTAAGCCTGGTTGAAAACAACAAAGAAATGATTCAAGATAAATTCGACTAGTACTCGATTAGTTAGAATTTTTGCTTTTTAGTCATTTATTTCTGGGTCTTCCATTTAGCCTCTTTTTATAAGCTCTGTGACTGAGCATCAATTATGCTGATGATGATGAATATGGACACTTGGCCGTTTCCCTTTTTGACTAAAGCTTTGTTCACACGCATAGAAAAAAATCGTGGGACTTTCGAGACAAATCGAGGATTTGTCTATAAACAGTCACGTAGAAATCTCAAGACAATCTAGAAATTTTTTCAAACGTCAAAACCAACTACATATTTCCTGAAAGAGCAGACTAGCCACACAACGGCCTGTGGTATTTATGCTACTGTGGCTGTTATTTTTAATGACAAAACAAAGGTCGTAAAATCGTGATTTTTGTTTAAAAAGACACCATCAAAATAGGGCCTACCAAAAGAAATTTTTCATACATTAAAAGAAAAAGAAGGGCAGCAATAACGAAGAAAATAAAAATAACAATAAAAAAGTAAACATAATTAAAACCCTAGCAGTTAATAGCGGTTACAAAGACACTTTAATAGACGAATTAATGAAATCTAGAAATAGAAAAACAACCATCATAGATTCTACAAATATAAAACATGGAATAAAAAGTAAGGATAACTACGTTTGCCTACTATCATATTTGGGCAAAATAACTAAGAATTTAGAAAACAAAATTAAAAGCAATGTAATAATACTACCCTATAAACATTGCAACTTAATTAGGATTGTTCTTTCCAATACTAAAGATAGGACGAAAATGTGGGAAAAAGTACAATTTATGAATTCAGTTGTGAATACAACAAGTACATAGGACTGACCGGTAGAAAATTTGAAGAGAGATTAAAAGAGCATCTACTTTAAAGATCACTTAATCAAAAGCGAACATAATTTTGAAATAGATAAAAACACTAAACTCCCAGATTTTTGCCCAAAATGTAAAACTTTGGATTGGCTAAAAGAAGTTGAAATTACAAAATGCAAAAAATTCTTACACAAAAATTGTCTAATTAAAACATTATACCTCTTCTATTTAAATCATTTCATGGAGCACTTAATAACAAAAATAAACAATGATATTCAAGATAATAGAGAAAATGAAACATAATAAAGATTGGAGAAGATGCTGAGGGATTCCAGGGATTCACACATGTTGGAAGAGACCAAGCCTGATTTTTTTTCTTGAAGACTATATATAAATAGTATTTTGTTTGGTTTTGTAAATTTCATTTAATTTGTATATTTATAATATTTAATATACACTGATGACAAATTTAATGCACCACTCAATTTATTTAGTTTAAAATTTAATCCATTTTACAGGATTAGGAGGAATCGTAAGCAAAATCAACAGTAAATAATGCTTTGTTTCTTTTTTTATTCATTTTTGCACAATCCCATTTCCATCCATCATCAGGCTCTATGAAACCGCAGCATTACAAGAAATGAGAACAGAAATCTGATAAAAGTCCGAAATGTTTCGATTTCCTCCAGGACTGTAAGAAGAAGGCAATGAAAATCATAAGTCCATGGCCCAGCACCTGGCTCATGGACCTCTTCTTACCACAGCTCAGGAAATAGCCAGGCTTGGAAATTGGAAAACTGTGGGCAAGTTCTCTTTACAAGTGAGGTGAGAGGTGGCATCAAATCTTCAGATGAGCATAATTTCATATGCAGACGCTCAGGAGCAGCCCCATGCTGTATGTTTCTCAGGTGGCATTCCATGGTGGCTACGTTCTGGGGTGGCACACCTGCACTGAATTGTTTGCTGTGCGAGAAGTTCTCTAACTTCAAAGAGGTACTTACAAGACATAATCAAAGAACATGCAGTGCCATTTGCCCTCATCGGTGAGAAATTCTTGCTAATGCAGGATAATGCCAGGCCCTATAGGGTAGGTATTGTGGTTGACACCTGAATGAGGTTGGAATTGAGTGTTTGGTGTGGCCTTCTCGAAGTCCAGATTTGAACCCAATTTTGAACATGCATGTTTTATCATTGTCATACCATTAGGAACGTGCAGAATAAATTCCTTGATTCCAGGGTGAATTGGGTCAAGAAAAAAATGTATTTAACATCAATGAAGTAAGGAGTAATGATGCACTTTGAATATTCTTATTCTTGCTGATGTATGAAAATTAAAAAATGTATGTACTTCACTAGTAAACTGTCTTCTTAAACTGTAAGTAAAATTATTTAACTTTTCATTAGACTACATATGGTTGTTATATGAACCCTTGGAGTGCCAGTGTTGTTGAAAAAAAATATAGTAAAGTAATTCCTGTTGATCAAGAGGGATTAATGGCCAACTAGCTGTTCCATGATGCAGACAAGGGGTCAAACCACTTTACAATACTTCTTTCAAATAATTTTCAATTAAAAACCAAGGCTTTCGCCAGGATTCTTAATCAGGACTGCTAGCGTGGCAAATACGAGTTAGACGCTCTAACCACTTGGCCACCGCAACCATTAAAAAGTTGGGTATCAATGCACGGCCGGTGGATTGGAACCCAGCACCTTTACCTTATGAGCGTGTTGTCAACGCCTAACCCCCCCTCTTCAAATCATGATATAAACATAAAGTGCATATAATAAACACATATAATTTTCATTAGACTATTACATTTTAAAATAGACTTTCAGAAGACTCTTGTCTTCTTCTACTAGTAATGAGGTAGTATAAGTGGTTTAATAAATTAAAAAAAAAAGTTTTTGGAATTTTCAACTTATTTTATTATGAATTATTAAAAAAAATGCAATGTAAACAATAACAACAAAAGAAAAGTGTAAATAAGGTCTAAACTTAACACTTTATATAATTATTGGAGAATACGATTTCCATTAATCCTTGCCTTGATTCTTCAATTAACGGTTAAGCTTGAAAAAAAAACCCTGTAAAATGTGAAATTAATGATCAGAAGCAAAATCATTATTGTAACTTTAACAACAATGTTTATACAAATCAATATCCAAATAAAGTCCAATTTAAAAAAAAAAAAAAAATTGTTACCATAACAAGAACCAGGAGATAGATTTTTCATTTCTTGAAAGTGGAAGTTGACAATATTTTAAACTGATTTTCTTGTGGTTTCTCAACTCAGTTTTTTAAAAGGTTGCAATAAAGAATGAATGACAAGCTGAAGCAATGAAAATTTCTGAGTAGTTCGCTATACAGGAATAAGTTTTTTTTCATTATTATATTTTCAATTGATCTCTGCTGGTAACCAATCAATAATACAAGGAAAGGAAATCACAACAAGATCAGCTACTTTATGAAATTTTTGCTAGATTGATGCCAACTTTGATCCTTTTTTTTTTGTCTTATTACTCATTGAAGTTGTATATACAACACGCATTCTTTATATGTACATTCAACACTTTTTGAACATTTAACACTATCGTTTTGAGTTTTTCCTTTCACTTTTGTCCCACTTGCGCAATATATGTAATTTTATACAATATACATACCAACAAGAAAAATGTGATTATACAAAATAAACAAAATATATTCATAATTTTACAAAAAATATTTGATACCGAACCACTATAGGGAACTATTCAATCATGAAAATTTATATGAAAACAGGGCTTTGTTAGGCAACTGTACATTTTTGCTCTTTTACCTTCATAAGTCATAACAATATACATAATGAAAACACTTACCAAATAAACAATTCAAATTAAAAGTACAAAACTCAAATAATTTTCAACATTGATTGGAATTTGAATATATTTAGGGGTCGGGTTATAAACATGAGGATTCCTTTTACAGCTATTCTACAATGTATTACGTATTCTTAGTTCAAGCCAATAAATGTTCATGAATAGCCATTAGGGTGGTTCATGATTTTGTGTAATCGATTAAAGATAACAAACGTCAAATAATAAATACAAGTAAACAGGCTACATACATATTTATAACTTAACGAACATGTAAGGTATGGGAGAAGTTAATTATGACAATGTTCTATCATAAATTATCAACAGGCACATCTACATCTGCTCAGAGCAATGTGCAATAAAAGTAAACAATTGTTGCAGATTAAGTTGTACATGCATAATAATTTATTGCTCAATTTTGATTAAAATAATTTAATTGAAACTGTTTATTTAATATGTTTTCACCGTAACCAATCACAATGATTGTCTAATAATATGGTAAGAAAGACAATTGAATTGCTTGTACCATAAATTTTAAACTGTACTATTCACATTTGTTTTAATTGTTAACAACCACTTTTTCTTGTAACAGCTGTCATTTAAAACCAAAACTGTTGCATTGCTTGTGTCTGTCATTTGAGAATTACATTTTTATTATGTAATTTCTTCTCGACTTTGTGAAGTTGCCATCATTGACTATGCGGGAGTATGACCTGTATATGATGTGGCTGTTGGTTACCTACTGGAACAGAAAAACAATCTCAAGTTTAACACGTTTAAACAGTGATGAATATTTAAAAAAAGCTTAACGCTGAAATAATACCCAGTGTGGTATTAACACGCATGATTCGTCTCTACGGTATAATGTATTCTTTTATTCATGGTGTCATGCATTTCATGCTGAAACTGTGGAGGGATAGAGTAGCACGCTGAACATACTTCCTATATTATCAACTTATAAATTGACGAACAGCCTACTCTAAACATTGATTTGGGACAATTTTTTTTAAAATTATTATTGGCAGACTGGTTTTCTTTAATATGAAACAGAAAAAAGAAAAGGTTAAGAACATACAAATCGAAAGAAAAGGATCTAATTGATCTAGGGTTTCTACTGCTACACTGAACACGTCTTAAAATTTGGTTTAATTCCATAGGCATTCATAAAAGTGATCATCTTTATAATATTATATTAAAGATATAAACTAAAAAAAATAGTGAACCAAAATACAATTATACTTGAAAATAGGGTTTAGTTTTTACTTTAATTTTAAAGCAAAAATTTCTTCTTTTTTTTAAATTTCAATACAATGTAAAATAATATCTAAACAATCTACCTGAAACATCATCATCACAGGATCATCATTGCTCTAGTTTTACTGTTGAACTCCTAGCTATACTCAAAGCAACTTCATTTTCGTCACCTGTACATCCTAATAACCTGTTTCTTTTTCAGCATTCACCGTACAAAACATCTTCTTAAACCCAGACAAGGATATTCTTGCACAATTAAAACAAAACCAAGACAAAGGATGGATTCAGGCCATGTTGACAGGGATGTAGTTATCGACCAGCAGTTGTTGATTCTAGATTTGGATCAGGGATGTGGTCTAATGAACAAAACTCTTATAAGTTTGCCAAGCTTTCAGTGTATATATTTTGCTTTCCTCAGGGAAAATCCATGGAGAAAATATATAAGAGTTCAAGAATCCACATAGATGGGCTTTTAACGCAGTGTCTATATGGATTCCAGATACCTTATATTTTTTCCCTCATAAATTTGCCCTGAGGAAGGCGATATATGCCAAAAGCTTGACAAACTTGTACAAGTTTTGTTCGTTATCCAATTGAGAACGAAAAGGCGGAAACGTCAAGAGTCCTCAAATGATAATCATCGGAATGGGCTTCTTCGCTAATGTCACTTTAGGCAGCTTGTCTGGGAGGCTTGGAGGCATGAATGGGGTGTGTGCACAGGAAACAAGCTCCTTGCAAAACAAAAAGATATAAATAAATGGAAATCCTCTTCCAGACCTTCCTGAAAAAAAGAAACCCTAACCCGGCTTGGAATTCACCACTCCTGGCTCACCCAAAATTTCCTCCTTGAAAGAACCCCTAAACCTATATGTCCAATCATGATATCTCCTATCGCCATATCCCGCACCATGATTGTTGTTTAAACACCTCAGCTAGAACTCTCCACTAAATCCATAAAGACCATACTAAGCAACAATTTTTAACTTCTTAACAGACATCCAACCACTAAATAAAATGTAATTTCATTCCCCTCAATTTATTATATAGGTGCCCTACGTTGGCAGTGTGATGGGACTCGATTATGGTGAACCTAACTGGGGCCTCAGTGTTGGTCTGGGCTCGATTGAGCAGTCCCTCACCGAACTCTGAGATCAAAGAATCTCCAGCGAGCTTGGAGGTGTCGATGGTGACTAGACACCGACCCCTCCTTGATAAAGCCCTGTGTACAATGTTAAGTCTAAAAGTATTAATCACGAGAGATCAGTGGGATTCTGTTTTTTCCAGCGCCCTAGTTTGCAAGGGCTTGGCTCTGATGGAGCTACATACTTAAGGCTTGATTACCAATAAGGTCGCTGCCTTCAAAAAATAAATAAACAAAATAATAATTATAACTGGATGTACTACTAATTAATAGATGTGCTACATTCCTTTCGACCTCTTGCTAACTGAGTAAAGATAATAAAATTGTAATTAAATCAAAACGTCGTAAAACAACGATAAAACCAGTCGTGTAACACTAGAAATATTTTTAACATTTATTTTATCAGTGTGAGCAGATATGCAAACGCAAATTTCCGTCTTTTACTGACATTATAGTACATATTTGTATTAGAACGTATTTGTTTACTAATATTTTCTGAACGCTCTAAAACTGCACACAAAACCCAGCAAACACCACAGATTTGTACGTATTGACACATTTTTTTAAAATAATAATATTAAAATTTAAGAAATAAAAAACACAAAACTGAAGCAGATATATTTTTATAATTTGGCTACTTAAATGTTTATATAAGATAATGGACAAATCAATAAAATGGTGACAAGTACTGAAGTATCAACGCACGCACAATTTCACAAAGAGACACGTTTTTCAACAGAAGATAAATTCTTCATAGACTAGTTAATCCGGATTCATTCTTTTTCTCTTTCAGTTTGGTAATTAATGGCCTCACCAGATGGGCAAGCATAACTGCCAGCCGAAAGGATCTACAACTAAAATAATAAAATGTTTTTAAATACTAGTCAGAACAAAATTAAAAACAAAATAATAATAATAATAATCTTGTCAGAGTTATAGAGTGCTGATTGCAGTTTTATATTTTTTGTTTTTTTTTAAACTTAAATATAAACTAAATTATTAAATTTCTCTCCTTGCTGTGAGGAGGATAAGCAAACTATAATGATCTGAAATTATCAACCTACAAACTATTTATATTATTTATAACATTGGTTGGGAAATCCTGCCACACACTTTCCTTCTTCTAGACCTGGCCCCACCTGACTTTCGAGCACAATCAGTAGTTCGATAATCGCCAACAGCAGGAAATTGAATCGAATTTAATCTTTTAAGTCTTGGGACCAACAACTTATTTATATAAGAAGGGCATAAACTAGTAACACATTGGAAGAAAGTTATAGATGCCGATGAAGACTCTTTCCCTGAATAAAATATTCATAATTTTTATCTAATATTATAATCTATACATTATTATAATCTAATTTTAATTGTGACTATTATTAAACCCTTTAAATCCGCATAAACTTTTCTAGTTGTCTGGTAATCATGGATGATCATAATGAGGTAAATTATTACAATACTTGATTGAGATGTTATTTTTAAACTTTATTGTTGGATGTCAAACAATAAGAAAATTTCAGCAAATAATGTATTCACTTTAATGACTTTTAAAAAGGTTGTATTGACAATTATTAGCAACATTTAATATTTATTTTGACCAATAATTAAGAATTAATTATTTTTCTTGCTTTGACAATGTTATTTATTAAAACATTTTTTAATATTGATTTGGTTTGAATATAATGGAAGTTGATTATTAGCTATAGTATATTGGATACTGCAACTTTTATTTTTTAAATTATCTCTGGTTTAAGCACAAAAACGTTTAATCATAACTGGCCAAAAAAATTACTACGTTTTTAAACATAAATTCACACCTAATCAAATCTACTGACAATGAATTTATCCGACTACACATCGTTATATTTTGAACCAAACAAAAGTAAAATAAAAGACAAAATAAATGTCTAATTATAAAGTGTATTATTTAAAAGTAAATTTAAAAAGCTAGCTTTTTTTATTTATTTATTTTTTTTATAACACGAACTTTGGATAAATACAAACCACTAACACTGAATGACGAACTTCCCGTTAATGCAAATACTTACAGTTTTCCAGATATCCACAAACAGGAGTCCCAAATGCAAACCGATAAAATGTTAGTATAGAAAATAATTCAACCCTTCCTCCTTCACCCCCTTTTGTGTCCTAAAAAAATTGGTCTGGGGAAATAAAATAAAAATTATTAATAAGTTAGCACAAACTTTTGGCATAATAGACGAATAAGACTCTAAACCTAACATTTATCAACGTTACATAAATTTGAAAGATAATTTTCCCTAAAGCCCTTATAAATTGATTAAGTCAACAAATGAAGCACCTTTCAATAAAATACTCATATATTATTAAATACAATTCATTATTGAATCTTTAAAAAAAGGCTTATTTAGAGAAAAAAGAAGAACTTAAACCTAATTTTGAACAGAAAATTTTGAACCCCACCAAAAAAAAAATATAATAAAATACATGTTCAACCGGCACTGGGTCTGACTAAACTTGTTGGTTTTTGATCGTGGAATATACAAATACAAGTAGATTGATTTAAGTTAATAATAATATTAAAGCTAAGAAAATGATGAACAAACAGCACTGAAATATTGCAAGATTTATCTGTGAGGGTGATGAAACTGTAATTTGATCTTTACCAATCATTTTGGTCTGCCTATTGTCACTTTGTCAGATGCATCTAACTATTTTGCCATCTTCAGATTAGAGGTTTTGCCTTTATGGCGTAATGCTGAAACATATCTGACAGACAACACAGCAATGTTAAGCTGATCAAAATAATCGGTGACTACCAAATTACTGAACTTTTATTTTATTTTTCATATGAACTAGGCACAGTGTTATTTTTAGCACATACTGATTCATTATTTAAGTCATGAGGAGCAGTCAACTGCGGTATCGTACTCACTTCAACAAATTATGAAACAACAGGACACTAAAAAAAAACATATATCAATAATAATCAAAGTAGGCACAGTGCTAGCAACTTGTATTTTTTTAAATTTGATTTACTTTTTTATTTATATATCCTTAGTTAACCCAAGCCCTGGTCAAAAATTTCATATTTGAATTAAATTTATACCGGACATAGGAATGTTTAACATTTGCATATTTTCAAACTGGAATTTTTTTCAACTCGTAAAGAAACATTTTGATAAACCTTTTCAGCTTGGAGTAATAAATCGCTTCATCAGTAAAGAAACAGGCTAAATCACTGCACCTTATTCCCAGTGTGGATTTTTATTTCGCTTATGATTTTCACTAGCATTAAACATAATCATAAGGAGTGGAAGACAGGAATTTTGACTCAAAATGTAAGTTGCTTCAGGAGGGCTTAAACTACATGTTGAATCTATCTCAAGAGTAGAAATAACTTCAACATGAAAAGAAATAACTTGTTATAAAGAATATACTAATCAGTATGACTTAAAAGCTTCCCAAAATGGGCAAATTTTAGCAAGCAACAACCATAATTTTATGTTTATGTTATGAACCGTTGTCTGTATAAATTCTAAGCTGAGAGATAACGCAGATCTACGAAGTTAACTAATAATATTCTCAAAAATTAAAACACAAATAATTTATTACTTAAATGATTGTTTTATTCATTTAGGAGCAATATTCAGTAATACTAGCCCATAACTAGTCCAAAATGATCGGAAACTTATAGTCTAATCAAAGGTCAACTATAATAAACCAGTAGAAAACAATAACGGACAAGACTTGTAACCTTTAAAACCATTGATTTTGTTAATATCATTACTTTTGTTTATCTATTCATCTTTGTTCGCATACAATAAAAAACTAGTAATTTTTTTCTCTTTGGTTTCAAAATAATTTTTATTTCAGGAAATTTAAAGTAAAAATGGATCAGCCAAAAGAAGCCGATGTTTCAAAATGTTGGTCGTAATATATGCTGTTCAGGTTGAAAATATTGTAACAATGTCAATTCAAAGTGTTGTCGCTAAAATTCTTTATGTTCAGGATACAAGTTGAGGATCAGAATAGCCTAAGTATTTGTCTGTATTATTTGTGGAACAGCTTTGTAGCTTTTTTATTATCTTACATTTTTGTATGTATGAGTTATACAATCCCAACTTATAACTTACAATTAGATATATTAAAAAAAAAATCATTTTCAGTTGAATAATTTGTTTGTTGTTCTAAAATGCTTGAAGATATAGCTAAACAAATGTGAAGGAATACAAAATTATGTAAAGATTTATTGAATATTTTCTGTCCGAAAGTAATTAAGGATTCCTTATTGCCCATATTTATCAAGCAATTAGAAATCTATACAGTTATAAAAAAAAAAAAAACGACAGAGTTGAAGAAATAAGAGTCAATCTGTTTAAATTATTTTACTAAAGAAAATATAGCTACGGTATACCAACTGCTTTAATTATGAAAAGAAAATGAGTGGAATGCAACACCCACATTGATGATCTTTGTGGCACGCTATGGAAAAAACGCAACACATGATTACAGACAGCGCATTAACAACAAAATAAAAGAATGATTACGCTTTTACATTGTTTTGAAGTTTGTTACAATTCGTGTTCAACGGAGTCAATCTTAAAAATGCGAGGAATATTCCTATTATATTTTATGAATGGCTAGTAAATGAATGATTATTGCATGCTTTTTGGGTTGTGTACAAATTGTTAATAGTCGAAAGCATTTATGAAAAGACCCTTGTGTGCAGCATAGTGGTTCATAAAGCAATAGAATGTGTATATAAGAGGACAGAAAGGTCATCAAACTTACTCGTACGGTTTTAATTACCATTCTACAGTTTCAAAAGTGCAATCAAAACTTACCTGATGCAATTGTTTAAAAATATAAATACAAGATTGTAAGCGATAATTCAAGTACGTTTTAAAATGCATAATGCAAAAAAATTAAGAAAAAATTAAGTTCACACACACACATGCGCGCGTGCGCACACACAGACTGTCACACAATGAGAAAAAACACATAATACTTTGTTTAGAAGTATCTAATCAAAAACTTAATAAAATCAGAATTCAAGCTTAGAAGAGAAATAGATCAAACATTAAACAAAATTAACTACTTCATTTATACATCGGGAGTCACTGTTACCACATGTTTATATTTTTTAAGTTTTCATAATAATAAAATTCCTCTTGAGATTAATTAATTGTGTACTACCTCTCTATATTTACTATCAGTCTTTAAGATGTACAGAAAATTTTCAGAGAACTGAACTCAAATTGTGCGTCAAAGTACAAACGTGTGATGACAGGTGGAAAAAAAAAAGTATTTTTTACCAGATCAGACAAGATAAATGTAAAGTCAAAATTGGATATTTATGCACAAATATTACAATAAACATAAAATTGGCATTTAAAACAGTAGAAAATAAAATTTTCAACTTGGAAACAGAATAGGTAGTTTTTTTTTTTACTGTTTACGCATATAATTATTATGGGTTAAAATTATGAAGAAAAAATGGAAAAGGTAATCCTACAGAAAAGATTGATACTACTACAACAATTATGAAATACATTATTGATTTACTACTGTCTTAGAAAGAAAAATCAAAATTTCAGATGAGTTACGTAAACCACGGATTGGCTTGGAAAAATTTGATGATAAAACTTGAAAACTGGTTACACTTTTATGAGGAAACTTAATGAAATGAATGTTTTTTTTGTGTGTTTTTATTTATTTATTTTTTATTACCAATATGGAAGCATCAAAATTCTATTTAACCATAGAGGCCAAACAGCTGACATGTTAAAATTTTCAATTAAACATTTTTGACTCGTTTTGTTTGTTTCTCCATATTGGTAACTGAATTTGGCAAAAGCAGTTAGTACAGCCCACCTAATCCTTATAACGAATCAGACTTAAAAAATGTAAACACGTTCTTTATATCAAGATGCTACAGTTTCTAATTGAATACACATTACATATTATCGTTTATGTACAAATGGATTGGAATAAAGGAAAATGGACTTGTTACAAATTATACGCACTAAATTTAATATACAACTAATAAATGATGTTAGTAGCAAATAAGGCCTTTTGTGCTGTGCAACACAATTATTATTAGTTTAAATACCCAAACAAAAATGAAAAGTTATTGCAGAAACTAAGTTTTTCCACCAGAAAAGTAAAAGTTAGAAAAACGAAAGAAAAAGAGAAAAAAGTTTGTTTGAAAAACAAATATATATATATAAACAATAATATGGTATGAAAAAAAAAAAAAAAAAAAAAAAAAAAAAAAAAAAAAAAATTAAAAAAAAATTTCATTTTGTAAAAGGCGCAAATTCCTTGTACTGTAGGACCCATATTGTGAAAAGGCATAACTGTATTGCTAATAACTTTATTGCCAAAATATTTTAACACTATCAACAGCTGCTGTCTAAATGCAAAGTCATCTATAATCTAAGAACACAATTGATTGGGAAAAGATCTTTGTCTGAATTATATAGCTAAAACTGTATAAAATGGATACAGTTTAAACTAGCCTAATTCTCTCTTTTATATATGATTTACTAGCAGGGGCAAACAGTTTCCAAGACTCTCGATTTACATTGCAAACGAGGCAATTTGTTCCAAGATAGAGGTATGATTGATTGATTTTGGTTATTTTTGGTAGTGGTGTGCAGCAACTCATCTGAACTGATGGAATTTGAATTACCTTTGGAGCTTGATGAACAATATTGCCTGGATCTTGGAAGCAAGGAAAATGTCACAGCTCTTGGATTGACATGGAACCCTAAAACAGATTGTTTAATCCTAAAAGTTCACGGACGGGATAGATTAATAATTAAAAAACAATTGTTTTCACTCTTTTTTTTTTTTTTTTTGGTTCCATAGGGATTTCCGTCCATAAAACCAATAAACACAATGTCTGAATTATTTTCTTCTATATTGCATGGGAGGCTAAACCGTTTAAAACTTTTGTCTTTATGTGTGTATGTGTATATTTTTGTGCTCTTGTGGTATCTTTCTATCAACGGACAGGTTAAAAATTATGGTTTATTATAAGGGGAGAATATTAATTTTCCAGAAAGAAGTTATAAAAATCACAAATTCCGCGCTCTAATGTTGTAGCTATGCTATCTTACATTTTTATGTTGAACGATAATCATATTTTTCATTTTTCTATAAAAAAATTAATAACATTAATTTTTTTAAAAAGAAATAATGCTTGCATTTAATAATTAGTAACAATATCATGAACAAAAATCCATGTAAAATATTTATGCACACCATTTTATAACTTAAATTTTAAAAATATATATGTATAAATAGATTTATGTATGTTTCATTTTCAAAGTTTTAAATGTTCCGTGGTCAGCAGTAAAAGCTATGGACTTTGCATATTTTGAATACTGTAATTGAGAAAATATAGATCAACAATTTAGTGTTTACTAAAAACAAATGAATAATCTAATTTACAATACAGGCTAGAACTAGAAATTTAGTGGTGATAAATTTAATGAGTGCCAATCAAACATTTAAACTAGAAAGAACAAAACTATGTTACTTTTGGTACTTAAGAAATGAAAAATGTGAGGAATAATAACTGAAAGATCCAACGATGAGAAACAACAAAATTAAATACATTACAGAAAAGATTTATGCTCAATTAAGTACACAACCCTCGATCATTCACCCAAAAACATAAAAGATTTACGCTTGAATCAGCGGGGAAGATCAGAATAATTTTAAAAAAGACTTATTGCTCCATTGCCTAATGGTGATTTATATAAATCCGGCTGGATGTAATAATAATCCTTATTTTTCTGAAAAGTTAAAAAATATTACTGCAGTATGGATTTATTTTGTCCAGTAAGCAAGCAACTTAGCATGCCGAGTTTGAAAATTAGGTAATTACATATTGTAATCATAGGAAATGATATTTATAAATCACTAAAATTAAAAACTGTTTTGTTGATATATTTAATAAACAGTTACGACTAGGATTACTGTACACAAAATTTAATTTGACTTAGTTTTAATTTACTATTCCTCTTCCTTTTTTGGTTGACTGTCTAGATGATAGATTCAGACAAATAAATAGCAAACTGGTCAATAAATTTATTTATTGATGCCGACGCATTTCCGAGGTCAATCTGGCTCCAATCTTCGGGGCTTGTTGGAGAAATAAACTCAAAGTCCTGAAATGCATTGGCATCAGTAAATAAATTGGTTGAAGCAGTTCGCCATTTATATGTCCGAATCTATCATCAAAATTTTAATTTCATTTTAGAACATATTTTAAGAATATATGGATGTACAAGTCTGATTTTGAGTAAATTTAATCCACTACAATGTATACTTTAAATTTTTTTACTCAACTTCAGCAATACCTGTATGTAACGTTTTGCGCAATATGAATGTCATAAAGAGACCTAGAATATACCCAAAAAAACGTGATACTTCTTCCTAAATATTGCAGTTATAATCATCCCCAGGAAACGATGAAAAGGGAGGAGGAAGGCTGAATTTGCAATTTTAATGTCTTTACACTAACGATTCGGCGATACAGACGAAAGCACAATTGTTCACACAACATCCCAATAAATTTTAAGGCATTATCAAAAGTGTAGATTTAATTCATTTTTAGTATGAATAATAATGAAAAAAGGTTTGCCAGTTTTAATAAGTTTAGCATTATGTATATGTAAAAACCACCAATATACCATAGGCTGTAATGATCACAATGCAAAAAAAGTGATGATAAATGCAGCACTTATAATTTTCATCTGACTGTTTATTTTTTCTCCAATAATATTTATACATCGTTACAAGTTTCTTTTCACAAACTAACTGAATTATAATTACTTACTTTTAACGTCTTTTTTTATTAGGGTATTTTAACTGTTTAAAGTGTTAGATGTATCAACCACTTTTTTATTCGTGAATAAACTGGATCTCTGTATGATCTGGACGAAAAAAAAAAAAATTCAATTGTTATCCACCAAGCTTTCAAATTTGCAGTCCATGGCAATGTTGGTGTCTATCCTTCAAGAAATTTGAAAACCATCTATTAAAAAAAAGTTAATTATGTCAATTTGAAGACAGCTTTAAGATTGTTTTGCCCGGTTGATGACCTTGAAATAGGTCAAAAGTTTGGCAGATAACAATTGAATTTATTTTTTCATTTTCATCCAGACCATACCAAGATCCATATTATTCGTGGGTATTTTATCTACAAGGTTATATCAACCCCTTAGGGTGCTGGTGTTTGGGAAATGTTCAAATGTTTACTGCCATAATAATATATAAAAAAAAAGCTGTAAGAGAAAATTTATTTCCTCAAGCCCTTTTTTAAAAAGTAAAATATTTTTTAACTTAGAAGCTTCCCATGAGTTTTATATGGAATGTGTCAACAAGTCAGTACAGTCAACACACTAGGCCCTTTTTTAATTTTGACATTGTTTAAATGATAACTAAAAATAAAACATCTTTAAGAAATTAGTAACTATCTTTAATTATGAAGATGAAACGAAAAACTGCTCCCTGGTAAAGATTCACAGTTAGCTTTATCAAAACAATGATGAAATCGAAAATTTTGCCTGCTTAAAAAAAAAGTTCAGATTTGCACTATTAAAATAGAAAGACCAATAAAGCATTTACTTCAAAATCAAAAATTTAAACAATATTCATTGCATCTATTAGGTTTCGTGGTCCGATTGACCAAATAAATTGAAAAATGCCAAAAAGGAGGGAAAATTCAAAAGGTGGGGTCGAGATGGGAAGTTAGTTTCCGAGTGGATCGAAGTCACGACAGCTCAAGTGGTTGAGCAGCGGTGTATTTAGCCGAAGGTCGTGGGTTCGAATCCTGCTCGTGGCACTGACTTTTTTATCTCAACCAAAACCTTAATTAAAGATTAATTAATTGAAAATATTCATTATGTTTAGTGGTCTAATTGACCAAATTACTTCTTTCAATTAATTATTCTTTTTATGTAACGTCTTGGTTGAGATGAAAAAGTTAGTGATCGAGGTCACAATGCTCAAGTAGTTAGAGCAGCGGCGTATCTAGCCGAAGATCGTGGGTTCGAATCCCGCTCGTGACACACTTTTTCATCTCATCCAAGACCTTACATAAAAAGTTTAAACAATATTGCCTATTTATATTGCATAAATGTTTCTTAAATAATATACATATAATATGTTTATATATATGTATAAATGTTTTCAAGGATATCAAAAAAAGCCAATTTTAAAGCAATACTTTTTAAATTCTGGGTTTTCTGAGATAAAAACTGAAAAGTTATTTTTTTACATCTTGTTTTAAAGACTCTTAAGATTTATTAACCCTGCAATGGGAGCATAGTGACTTTTTTAATTTAGTTGGAGTTATGTGGAAAACTGTTATTTGTTTAAATAAGTATTCAATTAGTCATGATTACTAGTATAGTAAAACCTCCATCTGGGGCTCGATTATCAGGAAATCTAATTCTCCAGGCCTCGGATGTCCGTAAATGTATACAGGTGTATATATTTCGCCTATCAAATCACTTCTGATTCGAAGAACACCGTCTTGTTCCTTTGAAACTCCCACTGGTCTGTCCACATTGAAGACATTTGTTACATCTGTTGTTCCAGAACGACGAACTAAACCCATCTTCATTTACGTGTCGTTCCAGAACGATGCACGCAACTCTTCTAGAAAACCCATGCTTTCAAAGCTTGTAGGGTGTTGGGATATTTTTGAACTCGAATCAGTGTCACAGGCCTTCAGTATCGGTTTGGCAACAATACTGAGATGATGGTTTTTCAATTTGACCTTAAAGCATCAAAAAAAAATTAATAAATAAATTCCATTGTCTGGAATTATTAATTTTCTGTGGAACCCCTCCCTGTCATTATCCAGGATAATGGAAGTTTTACTGTATTTTATATTAAAAATTTTATGCTTATATTTTTCAATCTAATTGTTGGGGCAGATCAGCAGAGAAGCTCTTGCGTATCAAGAGCAATGTCGATAGGTGGCCCGCAGAGGACCTGACTCAAAGAAGAGGCATCGCCACCCAATTAAGAATAGCCCATGCTAAGTTGACACACAGACTCTTACTTTTGGGCCAAAGCCTGCGCTATCTGCATGCAAAGAAATATTGCTTGATGTGGCCCACCTAAGTGAAGGATGCAATTGCATATAGACAGCACCATAGGAATGCCAACTGATATTGTGCTTGAGCAAGGCACCTAAGATTTTGGTCTCTTGTTCCAATCCATGGAGTTAACAAGGTTGTTTTATTGTATAAATTTTGTGTCCCTTGTGAGTGAATGTATTTATTAGTGTGAATGTGTAGTGCGAGATGGCCGATGGCAGAATATTGACCCATCACCCCTCAAATAAGTTACTTATATAATAGGTGATGGAGAAATATTGAGTACTCCACCAACGGGGTGAATGGTATATGAATAGGAAAGAATGTATTTAAGAGTGAGAGAGTGTGAATGGGGAAAGTGATTACATTGGGGGCTGAAATGATCTAGCAGTTGATACCACCTGGAGCCCAACCTGGCTGGAAGAGAAGACTGCCAACACCCAGGGTGGGTTATTCGCGAGGCCTGCCTTTAATTTATTGTAAATTAGAAACATTGGGATTGCTGGTGTTCTGCGAGAAGTGATAAGCTCAATTCCGTACATGTGTGCACAGGTTTGAGGTTATGTAATCAGTAATGATTGTATTTGCTCTTTTGATGGCTTATTATTATCAATAAAAATTTTCTTTTAATATAACTTGCTATATTTGAAGCCCTGTCTTTATTTAAAAAAAAAAAAAAAAAATGCATTACTTAGTACGCATCCACTTCCGTAATTTTTATACACACCCACTGCAAGGTTAAAAAGGGCATCGATTCCAATGAAAAAACACAATATCTTTATGAACTTCATAATCGCTTAAAAATTGTTCATTTTAAATTCGCATTTGTAATACATTTCCTGTAACTGATATTTGGTTTTCTGTTTAAAGCTGAAATTTTTTAGTTAATCGAGTAAACACATGAAAATAGTGGACCTATTTATTATTATAGCATTATATAGTATTATTATTTTTATTTTATAAAAAGGGTAAACTATCCTGCCAATTTGTTCGTTATTCCATTGCTGATCCAATGTTTGAATTGTCCCAATTGATATATACTTTACTGCACTGTCATACTTATATGTAAATTAGTTTTACTAAACAAAAACATAAAAGAAAAAAAGCTGCCTTCACCTGGAAATGATTTCATCACAATTTCATAAATGCATAACAACTTTCCTTTCATAATTATTTCAAAAATTGTAATTATGTAGAGAAAAATTTAAATTGTTAGGTTTTTAAGAGTCTTTACTTCATAAATTAACGGACACGAGTAAACATTTGCTTTTCTTACCATTTCTTCAAATAGTTTTCTTACAATTGGATTACCAATAAAGATCATTGTGAGAATAAAATAAAAATCCGTTTCTCACAAATATTGGTAACAAACTATTTTAACTTTTGTTCTTGTAAACTTAAAAAAATCTTTGAAATAGAAATCAAACATAATACTACTTTAGATTATTTTGTTAGTAAAATAATTTGTAGAATAGGTTAAATGTTAGAAGTTTTTTCCCCCATCAAATTTGTTTTCTAATACTCGCCATAATAGTATAGAAAATGCATAAACATTACAAATGAATAAATTTAGCAAGAGTTCATGAATAAACTTTAGGATGTAAGACCAATTTAATTTATATAATTAAATGTATTTATAAAATTAGATGTTATATTTCCAAAGAAACTTTTGGATATACATATAATGCTGATGATATATAATGATATAGATTAGAAGGCAAAAATTACATTTAGTTTTTAAGATTTTGATACTGTAAATTCAGAGCAATTGAACTTTTTTTGTACTTAGTAAACAAATTCCAGAAATTTCAAGCACAAACAATTGTTTGACAACAAAAAATTGAATAATAGAAACAGCCATTGACTTGTTTCAATTATGGTTAAAAGGAATATTCTATTGGATAAAAAAAAGTTTAGAATAGATAAAAAAAGGTTTGCAAGTTTTTGGTTTTACTGTATATGTGTAGATAACTTTATTTAATATAGAACCACATCAATAAATTATCAATTTAATTTTTTTTTATTGAATTTGGTAGTTTTTCATAACAATAAATAATTACGTAATACAGTAGAGTGTATAACAAAACCAATCGGCAGAAGTTGAAGTGTCATTCAAAACAAAATATAAAAATATAGTGAAGCACATAATCAACAAAATGTATCATTAAAAAAAAGGGTTAAATACAAACCGGGGAAACAGTTAAATATGGGAATAGATAAAATAAAAACTTTTGCAGTTGAAACCAAAAGATTTAGCATGCACAATTATGCAATACCATATTTACCCAAACGTTTTGTGAGAACCAGAATTAGTGAAAAGAAAATTAAACCATCAAAGAATATGCATTTTTAGAGGAGAGAAGTGAGTATGTAAAGAATGACTTGACAAACTCTTTTTATAATGTGCTGTGTATAGGTAAAGCTCATTAGATTGCTATTAAAGGAAACATTCTTGTCCCAGAGTTCAAAGTTCATACTGTTATGATATAAAATATATGAATCTGGTAATATAAAACGTAAATCATTTAACATTACACTGAAATTATTCGCATGGGTAAATAAGGCTTTGTCTACACACAAGTAGCTAATAAGCCAAATAAAAATAATGAAAAAATAATAAATATATAGTAATAAATAAACTGTTGGCCAGACACAGGGAATTTTTTTTTCAATTTTACTTTTATCATTAAGTTTTACCTATTTACTTTAATTTATTCATGTTTTCAGTTAATATTAAAGAAATATGCTTTTCAATAAACCCATAAACATTACAACCATTAACAAATAGTATAATCTTCAAAAAACAAACAAACAGATTGCTGCCATTTACAAATTGTTTTTGTTGGTTGGATGTATTTACTTTAATATAAATTCTATTTAAACTTGAACTACGATTAAATTGGCAATAACATTAACAACAAAACATATTCAAACAACCAACTTTATAATAAATATTGAACAGTACTTTGTATCCAGTGGAACGATTAAATGAACAAACCGACAAAAATTACCTGTGTCAGGACAAAGAAACGAAAGCAAATTTTGGGATAAGAAAATTGGTTAATTTTAATGTGACAGACACCCTACTGTTTTAATTCTTTTGTTTTGAATAAATCAATTAAATAATATAATTTCTGATATTTTTTTTTTAAAAAGTTAACATCAGTTTATTCATTTTTCTGTTGTCATAAATACCAAATAAAACAGACATATCAATACTTAAAGTTACATGAATGTACCGGTGTTACATAATACTACATTATTCATTTGACTGCTGCTACTGTATATGTTACCTGAAGTAGAATGTTGGTGAGGATGATGATGTATATATTGCTGCACCGATGACTGGGCAGCAGCTGCTGCCATCATATGATGTGGATTGTGTGTGGCAGGGTGAGGAGGTAAAATTGGGCACATAATAGGAAATGTGTGGTGTGGTGGAGCGTTTGGTGGATGCGGACCGCCGGGTCCCTGTGGCGGTGGAGGGGGAGGCTGACTGTAAGATGGAGCGGGAGCGGGCGGGTACTGGGGAGGAGGAACTCCACTTCCGTTTGCGGCACCGCTACCACTTCCACCTCCTCCTCCCGAAGACGAATTGTTGCTATTGGTCGCCTGTGGTGACGAAGCGTTATTTGGTGCTTGATGAACATGTGGCGGATGATGACCATGATGTGAATGGGGTCCCATACTCCCAGGGCCCATGTATTGCATCTGGGCCTGGGAGCCTTCAGGTGGATAATTTAACGTTGTGATCACCGGGGGAACCATACCGCCACCTTGTTGGGCTACCATTCGCACCATCTAAAAAACAAACAAAATAAAACAAAAAATTGTCTTTGAGGCAAAATTATAATAACAAAATGAGCTTTTATTTATATTAAAGTTGTAGACTAACTGCTTAATTTTTCCCCTTAACCCTTATTGTTTATTATTATATTTTAAATCAGATAAGTAAGCAATGGAGTAAAACAGCAAATTGGGTCCTAACAAAGAAAATCTTCGCTCAAATTGATTTATATTAAAATTTCTGAAAAGTGATAGATATTATTAGATGTAATATACTCGAGTAAATGTCAGGTTGCATTTTATTATTACCCTACCAGATGTGTATTTATTGTACAAAGGATGAAGTGAACCAAAATATTCCATGCAATTTAACCCCATGCAATTAACCCTTAGTTAAAATAATGACATCAATTACACCAAGTCAACAGCCTACTCTAGATACACAACAAATATTAAATTTTTAATAATTGATTTTTCAAGTTTTAAGTTCAAACTGTAAGTACAACTGTTGTATCGTTGATGATCACTGAATAAAGAAACTGATGGTCAAACCCAACCGATCATAAAATATCAACAAATAGAGTGTGTTTAAATTAAATGTGATTTTCAAATATAATTTAGAAATGATCCAGTATAACTTTTGGAATTTCCTCGTCCTTAATTGTGCAAACTTTGAAATTGCCCATTGAACATGTTCAAGTATCAATTAATAGTACTCCGCAAAATGATTATATAATTTACATTGAACATCGGAAATTTACCGAGGAACATTTTAGTTAACTCAGTTTCAACATGTGGTTTTTAAGCATGCAAGTGCATTAAAGTTTAAAACTAGTTTAAAAAAATTAATGAAATTCACAAAGTTTGATGTTTAACTCATGAACACATTAATTGTCTTGTTAAATTTTATTTGCTTAAATGTATGAACACATATAGCTACAATTAAGGCAGTCTATAATTCATTACAGAACGTATAGAATAATTGCCTAGCGAGTATTACAGACCAGGTAACTTTTTTTTCTAACAGAAATTATAAATCTTTGTATTTTACTTCTCACACATTCAAGACGGTGGACGACACCTGGCATCCTAAAAGGCCAGTCTCTCAGATGGATGAATGCCAGGTGGCATCAGGATTAAAGAGCAGATTATGGTAGAAAATTGAATAAGGCCAAGTTGAACATTTAAGTAAAATAAACTGGTTTTAGTCAGTAATTATTGTATTCTACAGAGGTATGCATATATTTTTTTTCTTATTTTTTTTATCGATATGAAAATAAAATGAGAGTAATTATTTAAGCAATCATTTTTTTCTGGGTTCAACATGTCCATCGCAAGCTAAAAGCAAATAAAGTGCACAATATAACACAAAACCCAAGCCATATTTAAAATGTACTACATTAGTCAAATGAAAGTATGTATGAAGTAATATTTTATCCACATTCAACACAGTGCTCTCTCCCATATCCGAACTTCAGTAAACAAATGAAACATTATTTGGGGGGGAAAAGAGTGAATGAATGAATGACAGAGAGAGGAAGAGATAGCGAGGGGGGAGATAGGGAGTGAAAGGGAGATGGGGAGGGGCGAGGGAGAGAGAGAGGAGGGAAAGAGAGGGAGAGTGAGCGAATGAACAACAGAGAGGGAGAGGGAGAGGGAGAGAGTGAGGGAATGAATGACAGAGAGATAGATATAGATAGATAGTTCGATATAGAGATAGAGAGGGAGAGAAGAAGAAAGAAAGGGAGAGTGAGTGAGCGAATGAATGATAGAGATAGAGAGAGGGTGAGGGAGAGGGGGAATGAGAGGGAGTGAGCGAGTGGGAGAGGGAGCGAGTGTGAGGGAGAGGGGGAATGAGAGGGAGTGAGCGAGTGGGAGAGGGAGCGAGTGTGAAGGAGAGGGAGGTAGGGAGGTAGGGAGGGAGGAAGGAAGAGAGAGAGAATGTGAGAGTGAGTGAACGAATGAATGACAGAGATAGACGTAGATAGATAGGTGGAGGGGAGATAGAGGAGAGGGGTGAGCGAATGAATGACAGAGTGAGAGAGTGGGGGGGAGAATTTACTAAAAACAGCCTTTTCCCCCTAATTCAAAGCAATAAAACAATTCACTGAAAAATAATTGAATTTATTATAATGCAATGCTTATAATTAAAAGGTAACTGAAAGTTTATTTTTCCATTGTATGTACTTGATAGTAGTGAAGTTGAAAACACATATATCATTCATTTTGTGCAATAATATAGATAATACCACCACCAAGTTAAGCATAAAAACAAATTATGGAACAAAAATATCAAACAGATTTAAGTTTCTTTTCAATTTAACATTTGAACTGCTGTACGTACCAAGGCCATACAAAACTATATATCGAGATTTCAGAAATATGGTTAAATTGTGTGGATATAGTTTTTTCTGATAAAAACTTGTAAAGTGACTTGATAATTATGTCAGACATGTGAAATGCAAATCATCTTACTAACAAAACCCAATAAAACTTGTAGTAGCCAATCAAGCCTAAAAACCATCAATGCTAGTCGCTTTTAATTAAACCTTTAATTTGCTACCTTCAGTGTCTGGATGATTTCTGTGGATAGACCAAACACTGGTGGTGAAATGCCAAAACGCGTCTGAACTGACAAAGGATAGGCAGACCGAGATCGAGATGATAGGTGATTATCAAACAATAGGTTTATCTGGAGGAAATTTCACAACCACTATATTTACTGTGTAGAGATTAGTGACCGTTAATCGATAGTTATTCAGATATCGTGAGATGCGGTCGGGTGTAACACCCGACCGCATCTCACGATATCTGAATAACTATATTTACTATTAATGTTGTGTACAAATAAAACAATCAACCTTATGTAAAAAAAAGTTGTCTACAGTCTACTACGAAGAAGATCTAACGCTATACATCATAAGTTTATACCATAATTTATTTGTTTGAACCATACCCCTTTAAAAAGTGCACTTTTGGTTGTAAGAAGACTGTAAGACATCATTTAAAGACTGTCAACATTTCCTAGGCTTATGGTGAAATGGATAGGATTATTTTAATCGAGGAGTTGAGATTTACATGAAACCGTCTGTAAATAAGAATATGCTTTCCAAATTTTAACCATTTAATAGGAGAAATATTTTTATTAACACATCTAACAAAATAATTGAGGGTATTTAAAGGAAGAGGTAATCCTAATTAAGCAATAAATCTATAGTCTTTGGTATCATTTTATTATTCTTTTTTTTATATCAAAAATATTTCTAACATTGAGAATATAATATATATTAGACTGGAGAATAGAAAGCGTAATTTAGTGTTTTTTTTTAAATCTATACACCTGAAATTCTCACACCTAGCTTAATGACAGTCAACTAATTATGTTGTGGTTAAATAATGATTAATTTTATGAAAAATGAGGGCAAAAAACGTATGACATATAAGAATACGATTTTAAAAACTTTTGATGGTTTTTAAAACTGAATTAGTCTTTTTTGAAATATCTTTATAACTAAAAAAACGACGCGTTATCAAACAAAAATTCCTGCGAGTATTAAGTAGAATAATAAAGTATCAATTGTAAACAGTGCACAAAATGATCTGTTAATCAGCAGTAAACATTGTAAAATAAAATTAAAGTGGGACAATTTTTTTACGCATGAAAGAAAACAAAACAACAAAAATAACAATTTTTTTTTAATCTTGCTTGGAACTGGGTTTCTGGGGGAAAACAACAAAACAGATTTTCGCTTTGCTTACTATTAAATTACTATTAAATAAAATTGTGCCAAAATAATTGTGGATAGTTTAAAAAAAAAATCAATAACCTAAAGATGTATAATCAATATAGCATGACAACATGATGCAGAGATGCTGTTCTAATTTTAAAAATGAGAATAATAAATGTTCCATGCAAAGTTAGTCAAAATTGATATAAGAATTCCTTAGTTTCTTCCTTAATTGAATAGCACATGCAAATGGTTTAGAAACCATTTAAGAAAATTAATTTGACTACCCACTAAATGTTTAACGATAATTTTTTTTGTTTACATTAAACCACATGAACAAAATTCTTCTTTTTTTTCATGGAAGTTTGGTTTTAAATTAAAGTGAACGACAAAGGAGTGAAAGTGTGAGAAAAACTAGGTGCTAGAAAGCTTTCTACGCCATTCTCCCTTAATAATAAGAAAATGAAAACCTAAGAAATTAATTTTTAAAAACTGCTTACAATAACTGATAAAACAGAACCAGAAAAGTTCGTAAACAAAAATTTGGTAGTACAAACAAAAAAATGCCTATGTATTAATAAAGAGAATACAGGTTTTACATTATAATTTAAATCATGCAGCCATGCAACTACAGGAATGATAGAAAAGAAAAGATGTACAACAAAATTGTAAATTCAATTATAAAATTTTTAAAAAAATAGAAAAATCAATGCAATTAATTATGTGAAACTTGCAGTCAGATTTTGCTTTTGACAGTTGTGATTTTAATGAGAGAAAATTTAATTCGGGTGGTAGTATTGAAGATAAGTTTGATTATAGTGGGAGGACAACCAAACCTGTTGAAAAGGCTGCTGCGTTATATGGGGTTGAGGTGAATAAGGCACAGTAAATTGTGTATGCATTGGAGCAGTAGTAAGTAACGGCTGTCCAGTTGCTGCAGCCACTTGCATCTGAGAAGGCTGACCAACTTGAACTGGAAATAATACAATAGATATATAATAAAATAAAATAATAAATGTAAATTTTTTTAAACAAATAAATGTCATCTAATGCTATATAAGTTGTTGCTGAATTGTTAATATTCAACTTATATTGTTTATTTATTGTATAGTGTCGAGTTCACATTATAATTATGATTTTATTTGACACATTATACAAACTTGAGTAATTTTTGGATGCTACTAAATAAATATTTCATTGGTTTTATTTGTGTAATCACCTTTTCGAAACCTGTTAGGTTGATTCGGAGGTTGAGTATATGGAGATTGGGCTGTTGAAACAACGTACGTTGACACTACTACAGCAGGCATTGGTGGCACTGTTGGACCATAACCTGGAGTTTGTGGCGTGTGGGGGCGAGACTGGTTTGGAGTACTCGCTGTCCGCTAAAACGGAAATACACAGTCAACAATTTTTATGAATTATATATAATTTTTGCAAATTAAACTCAAAATAATTATCAATGTTGTGTTAAATTATCAAATCCCCTGAAGGTTTGTTCCATCACGTGTCCAAACCATCAGTATGTGCAGTCGAGTTTGGGCGTTCCGACACAGTTTCAGGCCGTGTTTATAACCAGTTTTTGACAGTGAAAACAGTCTGAGTATTTGGCTATGGACCTGCAATCGCGAAATGTGCAACTGTTTCCCACGCTTCCATTCTCATCAAATCAGAAATTTCTCACTAATAACTAGAGCCCGGATTTATATGAAATAAAATTATTGTAATATGTGCTAAAAAAAATCCCTCAAATATAGAATTAATTTGCTTTAAAAATATTAAAACATGCAGGATGAATGTCAGAGAAATCACCTGGCTAATAACTGCAATTTTTAATATAGATTTTCGGGCTAGTATGTATTCATTTTGAAAGGAAATAGAACAGAAAAATTTCAGTAAAACAAGAAATTATATAAATGGAAGGAAGACTGTCAATTACTATTTTTGTGCTTCAAATGACACCCCTATATTCTTCCATACCCAACTAAATAGTTCAAGAAAATTAATTTTTCAGGAAAAGCACACAAAAAAAACAACCCAGATGTTTTGGAAATGGAGCCCTCAAATAAGATGCCAATTATTTCAAGAGAATTCAATAGTGTTGAAATGGCGCTCATCATATAAGGTCCCCCAGGTTCCAATTCAGGGCCATTGGGATGACATACTTAAAAATGTACTTTTATTTATTTATTTGTTTTTTTTTTTTCGAAAACACCCACACCTCAAGGGATTTATAATATCCTTGTAGTTGTAAGTACCATTGTTTAAAAAAAAAAAAAGAAAAAACTAATTTGGAAAAATTTTCAAATATGAAGAAATGATGTGAAAGGGTAGACAAATGGAACCCAGATTTCTTATCGCACCGGATCACCAGAAATTAAGGCAGCTTTTTGATTCAAAGTTGTTGACATTTTTGGATTTGAGGCCGTTTGAACAGATTGTTTGGTACTTCTAGAACAGACAGGATTCATGCTGAACCGGTCAAGAGTCACTTACTGGGTCTGCCACCACTCGTGGGTTTTTTTTTTTTGAGTTATTCAAATGCCTTTGATTGTTGCCTTTGATATTTGCATCACGGTTGTCAATGATAAATGTGCTGAGAACACACTGACAAAACACCGATCCCCAAACATAACAAACTAGAGAAAATTCTAAGAAACATTACGCTACAATACGTGTAAATTTACAGGAATATTACAAAGAAAAAGTTTGAATTGTAAAGAGGGGAAGTGACTCCAATTCAATTTATAGAATGCTCTTTTTTAACCTGTAACAAAAAATTATTTCATATTTCCGAGTATATCGAAATAAGACAAATTTTTTTCCATTTCTAAAGTGAGCTGCTTAGGAGTTTATAATATCAAGAGTCGACTGTAATTGTTTCTTCAGTTCTAATGAAGAAGTGTAGAAGCAGCAACCTTACAAACCATACATAAGACACTATTTGATTCTAGGAGTCTGAGATTGGGAAAAAAAAGCATTCCAACAGAGTTAAGAATTGGTGATCAGTTGATGTTCAGCATTAGTTAATAAATCATGGATTAATTTGCAACTAGTTTGTGATTATGTGTTGGAACAAACCTATTGTATCTGGTTTAATCTTTTCAATTTTTAATTTACAAATATTACACTATTAATTAATAAAAATTTGATTAAAAAAATATATGTTATACATATAATATGAAGCTACTTACCGGTGTAAAAGGTTTTGCATTTGGATTGTAAATGAATTCTTTGGCATTAGGGTTTAGTTTTGATTTGATCACTTTAACATTGCCTTCTTGAGACATGTTGGTGTTGTTCATTGACCTCATGGAATTTTGGTGTTCCTGATTAGATTCAGAAGACCTAGAGTTGACTGTTTGTTCATTGTCATTATTTCCCTTTTTAGCTTCGTCCGTATCGTTTTGCAATTTGAAATCATTTCCAAATTTTTTGAGGTCGTTTAATTGCTCTTCTCGACCTAAAATTATTGCCGAGTTTAAACTTGGGTTTAAATAGAGAAAAAAAAATTTGTTTTTGTTTTTAACCGCTTACCTCTTGATGTCTTACGCTGGTTAGAATTTGAATGGTTTGGACCAGAATGTTCAACTGAATGATTGCCAGGAAGGGGAGGTTTCTTGTGGTGAGAATCTGTATTTGATGCGTTCAAAGAATTATTATAATTATTTGAATGAGAGTGTGAACCTGAGTTTCTGTTATCAGCGATAGAGTTTGTCTGTGAATTGCAACTGCTATTACTATTATTACTGTTCGAGGATGACAAACTTCCATTGGCATTCGAAAATCTGTTATCGCTGTTGTTAAAACTGCGGCCTGAAAAAAGTAAAAAAGAGGTTCATTAGAATTAATTTTAATTAATAGATATATAAAAGAAATATATTATAATAACAAACCATGGCGTGTACTTGTCCGTTGTGGTTTTGGAGATTCCATAACACCATTTACCCTATCCCTTGCGTTACTGTGGCTATTTGGTGGGCCATGGTGTGAGTAATTAGATTGTGAATTGGATGATTTGTTACCACTATTACATGATTGTTGGGATTGCTCTTGCCTTGACGATGTCTGTTGGGTTGTTGTAGATGGTTGGGTCTGTTGTTGTGTCTGTAGTTGCTGTGGTTGTGATTGTTGCATCTGTGGTTGTTGTGTTGGCGATAGTTGTGTCTGTTGTTGTGGCGGGGACGTCGGTGACTGTTGTGTCTGTTGGGGTTGTGGTTGTTGTTGAGATTGTGGTTGTGTTTGGGGGGCCTGAGATTGTGTTTGAGACTGAGACTGTGGCTGGTTTTGCTGCTGCACTGTCTGTTGTGGAACCGACGAAGTTGTCCTAACGACTTTGGTTGTTTGTAAAGTTTTTCTCTTTGGTGGACAGACGTATTTGTTTACACCTTCTGAACTAGTATTGTTGTCTGCGTTTGCGGGCCGAGCTACAGCGGCAAATTTCTCTTCTTCATCTCCATTCTCCAAATCGACACGAAGTTTGTAATGAGGATTACTTTCAATCTCATATGCTATTTTTGTCGCTTTTGCTTCAGCATCTCTGCAATTTATTAATATCATTATAACTACGAGGTAATTTACAAACTGAATTAAGATTTAGCATCAAATAAAAACATTCCCCTAAACAATTTTTCTTTTTCAATGGACAATTTGCGTTTAATTTTCCTACTTACTTGTAATCCTTTGAATCTTTATTTTGAAGAGGTGTAGTGTAAGCTGATAACCCTTGGTCAAAATCAGAAGTTACACCGTACATTTGCTCATTTTGACGAAACATATCATTTACATCCCAGCCATTCTAAAAAACGTGATAAAATTAGATAATAACGTTTAAGATTAAGATGATGGTGACCGCCCTTAAGCACAAAAAGTAAAACTCACTGAAGTAGCGCCTTCAAGATCAAAGTCATCATTTAAATTACTCGTCGATGAAGAGCCGTCCCATGGTTCTAATTCTTTTTCTGTCACCTGGCCATTAAATTTACTAATTGCAGTATCCGTTTGGAATGTATCTACAAAAAATAAATAAAATCAATTAATAATACATGAAAGAAACAAATTTGGATTTTTAATATACCTCTTGTCGCATAATCAACATCTGTATCAGTAATTTCAATTTTCATAATATCTTGGGGCTTAAATATCATTTTATCTACTAGAGTATCTGGCGATATTAAAAAAGGGTTATTTAGATCTACTTTGTGGGCCATTTCTATGACTATTTCAAATTGGGCTGAAAACGTCCTAAATATTCCTTCATATACACATGCTGTTGCAGTATGAATCTGTAAACGGTAAAAATCAGGATCAATAATAGCAATAACTAACTATTTGGCAAGAAATAAAATCACTATCGGGTTAACATTCGACACATACTTTGACATTATTCCCAACTAAACTAGCCACTGAGCTCATAAAATAAGAATTGTTGTAAACTCCATCTAGCGATAATGAGCGTTCATTAGGACGTGAACGGGGCGATCTGTAAAAAAAAGTTTTACTTGGAAAAATAATAATTAAAAAGACATCACAAATATGCTAAAAAAAAGACTGGTATTTGAAATACCAAATAATTAACAATGCCTTTTCTTGTTAAAATAATCGACATTTTCAATGTAGTTAATTACAGTTTGAGAGCTAGAGATTAAACTCAAAAAAGTAATTATTTTATAAAAGCAAAGCGAAAAAGTAATACTCAACTTACCCAGATTCAAACGTACTAGCTGGGCGACTTTTTAGGTCCTCTCTGAAACAAAGAAAGATTTTATTAATAATAATTATTATAGAATATTTATTATTGCTTTTCAATCCTACATTTTTATCCCATAACAACCACTAATTTATTTTTCAAAAGGGCAATTAAAACAACATACAAAACACCCAAAGAGAAATTCCAAACTCCATTCATAAATTACTTTACCAGGAACCAGAACAGTTAAATCAAAGTTCAAACAGTTAATTAAAATTAGTTTAGACATATTTTATTTGTGGAAGTCTCCACAGGCAACTATATCCTTCTCCCAATGTGTTACTTTCCCAGTTAAGCCCTTTTTATAAAAAGTTTGGATCTTAAAAAAGAAATTCAGCTCATTTTCCAGCTGTTGGAGATTATCGAACTCCTGACTGCACTTATGATCGCCCATTGCCAAGAAAATGTATCTTTACTGACCATACAGTACAGAGAGTGTGATGGATCGATCACCTACGTTGCCATTCTGGCTGTATGAGGTCTCGCACTGTCCTGGTGAAAAATTACATCTTTTCTGTTCACAAGAGCTGTTTTTGGGCTAGGAGAAAAGACATATTCATTGCAGTTGGCATGAGTAGATTTCTGCAGTGATCTAACCACTTGGCAGGAATTCGTACTCCAGTGAACACAAAGCATCACCTTTTGTTGGTGAATATTCAGTTTTCACGTCATTTGGTGACAACCAATGATACTTCCTGGTGATACCGTACAGGAACCATTTTTCATCACATGTGACAATCTGGTCAAAAAATGTTTACTTTGCGATGTGAAAGTAATGAAAGACTAATGTTTGGACATAGAAGCTTGATGTCGTCAGTCAATTGATGAGGAACCCATTTGGCTCAGCTTCAATGTCTTCCTAAGTGTTGTAAGTAAGCTAGAGCAAATGGTCTGCTTACACTAAACCTCTGGCAAGCTCCTGATATGTTTGACTCCAATAAAGTTCAATAGAACCTTCGATTTGTTGTCTGCAAGACGGAAGTACCAGACCGTGGTTCATGTTCAATCACCTCATTCCCAGAAGCAAACTTGTTAAACCACTTTTAGGGAGTGTGCTCACTTGTTTCATCACTGAACGTCATGAAAATTTTATGAGCTGCCCTAGCACTAATTCATACAACAAGCATGCACAAATTGTAGGTTTTGAAGCCATGAGAAAGAAAATATTTTGTAATTTACAGTGAACCATTCAAGACACTTTTTCTTTATCAACTGATCCATTATCCTCTTGGATAATTACATTACATGATGTAACTATGTCATGTTGATTTACGGTATGGTATTAAAACCATAATAAATGAAAAACTGCACAAACTTTTCTGGTTATCTGGTCTATTAATTACTTACGACAGTAAATTGTTTTACACTAATGGCAACAAAATCAAGTAGGAAATAGCGGCTAAGATTTGTATAAAAAACAGTTTAATAAACCAATAATAATTTTTTTATCATCCCCCCACGCAAAAAATAAATTCACTTTAAAGTATGAAAAAAACCAGTATATTTTTTATTATGTATGGCACTCGAATATCCACAACCAGATGTGCCATACTAAGTAAGAAGCCAAATAAATATGCACAAGAAATCACCAAGATCACAATTATCAAACTTCACAAGTAATAAATTTTTGGTGTATAATTCCCTTGAATCCAGCTTTAAGCACTATCTTTTCTATTAATCTAACTAAGAGATGTAGACCTTGTCTGACTTTCTGTTTCTTTGGTCCGTTAAAAAATAATAATCTTCACTAAACATATTTTTGTGTCAAGTACTTTTCCATATGTTATGAATTTTTTTGTTCAAGTTATGCTTACAGCAAAAGGTAATGGTTAGGATTTTTCTATTATTACACTTGATTCTGCCGAAGCCATGTAATTTTTTCCTTACATTTATTCGGAATTCTTCAATTATCTAACCATGCAGGAAGACTGAATATTTTTTCCCTATCTTATTCATCTACATGTCCTTTCTCCCATGAAATACTTATGTAGCATTTACACCTATGCCTACAGAAACAATCTCCTTGGTTGAAAATGTAAAAAACATTAATTAGAAAAATTATTTTGTCAATTGGGTTTATACGATTTCAACTTTTTTTTTTATATTGTGAAATACTTTGAGGAATTGAAGGTACTTAAAAAGCACACTTTCTAAGCTGACGAAGTTACATTAATTGTAGCTATTTTTAAACACTGGAGTTTCACATTTTCATTTAACACTTCCAAATTCCTAAGATTCACGACAAAGACAGTCAATGGTTCAACCTTGAAGAAGACTATTTAATTAATGAAGAGCATTTCCAACAAAAATCTAGGTTGTTCTCATATTTTCCTTTATTGTATTCAATCCAGAGACAATAATTATCTCTAAAGTTGACACTCATTGACCTATTTATTTATTTTGAGTTATTTTTGCCTTCTAAGGTTTTGTCACCAAGGAACTTAATTAAGTGCCATCGCAATTTTTCTTTCAACTGTTTGGTGAAAATGTTGATTACAGCAACAGTTTTCTCCTACAACCGGTCACCCAGCCGAATAAGGATTTTTCTTTCATCATTTTTCCCTTTTGACTTGTAAATTTCTCAGCTGCTGAACTCATCTTTTATTTTCTCTTTACTGCATAACATTGAATCTCTGATGTCGATTACACACAAAAAGTGTCTTTCAAAGAACCATGACACATACTGATTTTTTAAATGCCTTTTTGTTTATACATTTTTCATTTTCTTGAATTTACTTTGTACTTATACAAATTCTTATATGCCTAGTTATTTTTATCTGGATCTTGCCATTGATGTGAAATCTAATTCTTTTTGTTTTTAATAGTATCATTAATTTTACTAACAGGGTTTTCACGACTGTCCATAATTGTGATGATGAAAATGAATAAGCATAATTTGACATGATTCCTTGGATTCACAGTATTTCATCATACAGCTTGAAATCTTAAAAAATGCCGTTACATAACCGTCATAATAATGAAGATATGAAAATGCAACTTAAATATTCGCTATTTATTGTCAGCCACAGCGTGTAAAGAAATCATTACAAGGTCAACTAAATAAAACAATGACAAAAGAATAGCACAACTCGGTGATTCAGTAAATCAGTTTGCAATATAATCAATAAAATTAATTAGCAATTTATATAGATCAATGATTTATTAAGAAAAAGCATTACACGGATTGTTATTTGGATTTAACTTTTTAACGGGCCTTTTTATCATTTAAACTAGTAAACTATTAAGTCAAAATTTAGCTTCATTTATGAATTTCAAATAACATACAAGTTTGAAGGCATTTTCAGTCGGAATTGAAAGATTTGTCACTTATAAACCAGTCAAGAGTGCCTATGACTAATTACAAAAAAAATTATTATAATAAATTCTTAAAAAGAAATATTTAAAATATTTGTGGGCTAGTGGAACTTTTACAGCGTTCAATATTTGCCAACCGTCCAAAAGTAATAACGTCTAAATTATTTACTATTACTTTAACTAGTGAAATGTTTTGACCATTAATAATACTTAAGAATTTCTAATGTGAATAACTCAAGGACTTCATTAATCCAGTTAGGAGGTAAACAATTTATCAGTTCCAGAGGACTGAATTGCTGCACTTACTACAAAAATTGGCCAATGCCTCAAGTAAAGCAAGGGGAAAAAGTAAAACATTTGAGAAATGTTCCTTTTGTTTAGAGATTTAAAGAACGCATTAAAAAATTTGATTCTTCCGGTCAAATGTTCATCATCTCATTAACGTTTCTGTCAGTGAAATAAATAAATGTCATGTCTTCTGTAAACACTGCGGGGGAAAAAATCTTTTTCAAATGAACGACAATTTGACCTCAATATGGAACACCACATATTTTGATTAACCAACAAAATTATATTTAAGCAATCCCAAATTACCTTTTTAGATTATATCGTCATTCATTAATTTGCAAATGAAGAAGTAATACTTTGAATTTAAACAATAAACCAAGCGAGGTAATACGATTTTTAAAAAAAGTTCAATGCGAAACAGAGGAGAGAATGAGGACATACACCACTTCTTAGCCCTATGCCCAGTCCAGGCCAAATTTAAGCTGACTTGATTTGGAAAATCCAGCTTGTCACCGAAGGAAACTGAAGAAATTTTAAATGGAAGTAATTGAAAAAGATATAGATTTTTTAATAGTATGGTTCAATTATTAATTTAACACATTTTTTAAAATTTGCTTTGTTGTAATTGCTTTGTTCCAGTCAAAAATTAATTTCAGTTGTTTAAGAATAAAATGTTTATTTCCATTATGTTCAATTATATTATGTAATGTATTACTGTAAAACTCTACTTGTCAACTCGCCAGATCAATGTTATTTTCATGGCTAAGTGCTAATTTTTGTACATAAGAGAGATAAGAGTTATAATTTGTTTATTAAAATATACACTTATTATATTCAAATTTGTCCTATAAAACATACTAGGTATTATTCTTTTCTGTCGATTGTTGTATTATCGAAATAATTTTTATCTAAGCTCTTTTATCCAAAGTGGAAACAATTGTAAAATAAATCTGATAAGACGTCTTTTGAGAACAAAGACATACAGCTGAAACATTATTTACTGTTTATTGAACCAACTTATATAAAAACAGAATGAAGCTACTTTAGAAGACAAAAGGATATTTCCTTCCTAGCATTAGTTGAGTCAAAACTTGATTTATTTTTTGTTGCAAACAGAAAACCAAATAATTCGTTTAAATGTAAATACCAATACTAATTCTTTTAAAAATCTATAAACTATATTTATGAACAGAGAGAATAATTATTTTAAAACTATAAAGAAAAAATAGGTTACAATATTTTTAAATATATGTTAAGTAAAACTGTTAAGTTTTCATTTAGTTTTATTGGTAAGCTTTTGAATAAAACAAAAAATGATTAGCCCTCCTTTTTTATAAACTCCTAAATTAGCAATAGTGTTTAATTTCGTAGCGTCATGGACTAGTCTTACAGATCAGTAAATATGCAGATCTGAGAAATGCATTCAACTCATTTATCTTGTTCCACTGTTACTTTTGGACAGAATAATTTTAAAAAGTTAAAATTAAAAAGAAAAAAAAATTACTCTCCTTTTTTACACGAGAACCATTTTAACATCATGATAATGAGTCAATTCTTCAAAATGGGATCATTTACTTAATACCACAAACTACAACTAGCAAATTAAACTATTTTCTTCTCATTAAAAATAATAAAACCACAAAGGAACATCCTTATAAATGTGAATAAACTGTGCAGCAAATGTATGTGATTTAAAAAAATATTAAATAGAATAAATATATAAAAGTGAACCAGGTGAAAATATGATAATCATTACTTTCATGGGCTATGGAATGGCGTCTAAGTTTTAAATAAAAGATGAAGGTCAGTTGATAGCAAAAGCTAAGGATAGAAGGAAACAAAAGGATGAGGCTTTCTTTTCTTCTAATTCCTAACTCCTGACCTTTTCTTCTAGTCGCTTTTCAAGAATTTAACACAAATAATGGTATGACTACATGTGAATGGATGGATTATTGGTTGTGGGGTTAGTGAACAACCCCTGAAACTGTTATTTACTGGGTCTACACACCTGGGCAGTAGGTGACCCATTCTGGTTCAACATACATGACAGAAAAATGGCGAAAAGGAGGGAAAATTCAAAAAGGTGGGGTTGAGATGGGAAGTTGGTGTCTGAGTGGATTGAAGTCACGATAGCTCAAGTGGTAGAGCAGCGGCGTATCTAGCCGAAGATCGTGGGTTCGAATCCTGCTCGTGACACTGACATTTTTATCTCAACCAACACCTTACTTAAAGATTAATTAATTGAAAAGAATTTATATGGTCAATCAGACCACGAATCGATTTAAAACGACAGATTTGAACTTTTAAGGGATTTGCATGATTAAATGATATTTTTGTTAAACAACTTATTAAGGGATAACTTTTCAGTTTATTCATCCTAACAGTTGGAATGCGGATACGATAACTCATCACTATAAGGGTCCTGGGTCCGAATCGTAACAGCCATTAATTAATAGAACCGAGCATACTTACATTTTTTTAATACAAAAAAAGTAGTTGAAAATAGTTAAGTATAAGTGTTATATGAAGAAGACATTTCTTCTGTTTCTGATTATGCCCAGGAGTTGAAAAATTTGTTCAGTTTGAAAAGAATTAGATTTTAGTGTGGAATACCAACAAACGTTAATGCACTTACACACATATTCTTTTTATTGTGAAACAATGGATAACGAACAATTTTTAACATGAAAATAACTTGATGATAAATGAACAAATTTATTATAAAAATAATTAATTATTTCTATGCAATTATGTAATTTTAATAATCTTTTAACATAGAAGTATGAGTACAGTACTCATGTATGTATATGAAGGTTAAAGTGAATGGTAGGTGTTGGGTCTGTGTGTAGGAAGACATATCGAACCGGCACTGGGTCACCAACTGATAACCACGTACCAAGTGACCCAGTTTAACATAAATGTCGGATTTTTAATATTTACGGCTTTTGCTTGATTAAAGTGTTTATTATTTTTTAATTTATTAAACGACTTATTTTATTATGATAATTTATTAGTTATTTACGATAACTTTCAAGTTTATACATCCTAATCAATGAAAGTAGTTAAGTACAAATGTGTTACATAAAGGAGAAAGTTCGCCAAATCTGCCACAATTATGCTCTAAAGTTGAAAAATATGTACAGTTGGTAAGTATGAAATCTGGAATATGGAGGACTTATTAATAAACACGAATTGACTTACACACAAACCCACACTATTTAATTATTTTTATTTTATTTTAAGTAATGGGTAATGTTCATGAATATGAATGATATTAAAGATAGTGGGTGTTGGGTCTGTGAATTGGAAGACAATGTTGAACTGGCACTAATATAACCCTCCACCAGGTGACCCAGTGCCAGTTCAATATACATTATGGACATTTAATATTTATGTCTTTTAGTTCATTAAATTGTTTCTTGATAACTTTCAAGTTTATAGATCCTAATCAAAGAAATTACTTAAGTAGGAATGTGTTATAAGAGGGAGACGCTTCACCAAATCTGCTATGATTATGCTCACAAGTTGAAAAATTTACACAGTTTGATAAGTATGACATCTAGAATTTGGAGGACTTATTAACAGGCAAGAATGGACTTACACACATATTCTTTCTTTTGTAAGGAATGGGGAATGTACAACGTTTTTTTTTTTTTTCAACATGTCAATGCATTTATGAAAAACGAAAGAATTTACTAGTAAAATAGTGTATTATTTCTATGTTATTAGGATAAAATTGATCACATTCATCATTTTACAATAATATTTTTTCATATCCTCTTCTAGAATTTTAAGTCATGGGTCTGTAAGTCGGAACTGGCACTAAATAACCCTGCGCTATGTGATCCAGTGCCGGTTCAAAATACAAGATGAATATTCAATATACATGGATTTTGCTTGATTAAATAATCGTTATGATTTATCCAACATGACAATGACTGTATGATAAACGAATGAATTTATTACAAAAACCATCATTATTTCTATATCAGTTTATTATTGTAAATAGGAGATAATCATTGTAATAGTTTTCTTGCAGAATTTTTGATTACTAGCCCGTCTATTGTACATTAATAGGAGTATCGGGTACAATATAACAATAATTGAATTAGCGTGTTTTTTTAGAACACATGTTTGTAAGTAAATGACGTCAATAGTCAATAGTGGTATAATCACTGGAACTGGACGTGAAGTTGCACGTCCCATTGCATATCTTGCTAGAGTTGCTTGAGTAAGGAAGAATTAAAATAGGAGGCAATTCAGCAGCCTATCAATAAAAACAAAGAATAAAGGAAATCGGCTGTGTCTTACTTTTAATTCTGAAGCCGTGTTTGTTTTGATTAAGACGAATAAAAGGCTCACCCTGTCAAGTCCGATTCGATTTGTGTTGAAACGTAGTCCCTAGGCGAGACACAATGGAACCCATTAAAGGATGAACGTGTACTTCAATTGCTCTGACGGAAACTTAAATTGGGTCAATTTGCAAATGGTAAATCAAAAAAACGTAATCAACTAGCTGATAATTTTATTATAAATCGATTGAGACGGGCCGTCGTTGTTTATTTTCACGAGGCCAACTGTGGTCGGAACTGTCGTGAAATCTTCGAACGATATTGTGGTTAAAAACAGGCGAATGAAAATTTGCTTGGGATTAAAATCAAAATATAGGAGGGAAAAAAAGAAAATTTCCGTCGTAAGAGAAAAAATAAAAAGGATCGTAAAAATCAAAATGAGGATTAAACAAGGCGGGTTGCCCTTTTAAAAGTTTCAAACATGTAAAAAAGATCTTCAGGCCTAGGAAGAGAGTTTAAAAAAGCCAATTTCCGCAACTCATAACCTAAAGGGGAAAACCAAAGGATATTAATATCGGGTAAAAGCGTGCTTTAAGCTGGTTAAAAACTTCCAAAAGGGAATAAATATCAATCAGGTTGAGAAGATCCTGAGGCTGTTATTATCACTGACAGATATGTCAACGAAACGGTGGAAAAAGATCCTCTGGGGAGATTATGAGATTCACATTCAGCGATTTGGACAGTGAAGGCTGGAAAGGGCGTGCGATTCGAAAATTGACAATTTCTATTATAATTATTTGATAAATTATTGGATGAAAGCTCACCTTGTCGTGTTATTGGCACGGTTCTTTCTTTTCGTATTCATTTTGCCTGCCTCGTTTCTACCGGGGTAGGCACAATCTCGTCTTTTTGTCGGAACCGGAATTTTGAATTATTTTCTGACACAGAGTGCGATACCGAGGACGAGTTGAAAATCGATCTCTTTCTAGTTCTTCGTCTGTTTATCCCGGATTTCTATTTAAAAATTATTATAATCACAGTTCTCGCGAATTCTCTAATCGAGTAAATTATCAATTAGATTGTGAGAGACGAACCTTCGAAAGGCTAAAACTGACTCGAGGCGCAAGATGTCACTCCAGGCAAATCTCCAGTTTCCATTTGATCGAAAATCAAACTTCGACGTTAATTATATTTGTTCAAATTAAATATTCTTATCAAAAATAATTATTCTTCAATCTTTTTAACATAAATAAAATAGATTTTCTTTAAAATTTACAATACAGACACTTGGAATAACGCCGGTTTTAAATAGCAAAATACACCTTTTCAACATTTAATTACAATTTTAAAATAGAAAATAAATCTTTTATTAAATAAGTAACATAATTTCTTTATAAAAAGACTGGTAATGATTTCAGCGCCCCGTCCGCGATTTGAGGTCAGAAACCACGCCCTAAGCCAGGTCTTTTTTCAAATCCAAACGACTTCTTACCCTTCCAAGAGAATTTAACAATAATATATTTAAATTTATCATTTATTTATTCATTACCATTAATGTATTACTCAAATAGAGTTGTTTATCATATTCGGCTGAAGACACTAAACTTTGATTTATATAAGATTGCTTCTGCACATGGATGTGCAGAGTTGAACTTATAACTTCGAGCTTTTGTAATTTATAATAAATCACCGGCAGGCTTAGAGAATCACCCACCCTGGATGATGGCAGTCTGAGGGATCAGCCGCCAAGGTTGGGCTCCAGGGGCTGTCCATAGCTAGGTCATTTCAGTCCCAAACGCAATCAGTTCCTACATCCATTCACTCTCTTATATTTACATACTATTCACTAAGTTAAGGTGATGGAGTACTCTCACTCATTACACTTTTTGTATATTAACTTAATTGAGGGTTGATGTGTACTCAATATTACGCCATTGCTCCTCTCACATTAAACATTCATGCCAATAAGTACATTCACTCTCAACACATGCTAGGGATATAAAACTATCCGTACATACATAAAGGTGCAGAGCTGAGTCTAACATTTCTTGCAGGCCTGGAGAATCACCTATCCTGGGTGTTGGCAGTTGGAGGGGTTAGCCGCTGAGGTTGGGCTCCAGGGGCTATCCATAGCTAGGTCATTTCAGTCCCAAACGCAATCAGTTCCTAAATCCATTCACTCTCTTATATTTACATACTATTCACTCAGTTAAGGTGATGGAGTACTCTCACCCATTTTACACGTATTGTATATTAACTTAATTGAGGGTTAATGGGTACTCACAATTCTGTTCCTCTCACACTACACATTCACGCCAATAAATATGTTCACTCTCAACACATGTTGGGGACATAAAACTATCAGTTCTAAATCATAAAACAGCCCTGTTTCCTCCAAGAATCAGAACATGGGACCCAAATATTTGCTGCCAATTCTCTCATCCTGTCAACACTATGCGCTCTCTATATGGAGCCAAGGAATTGCACTTTCTATTTAGTTGGGACACATCAAGCAAATGACTCTCACTCTTAAATGCATTCTTACTTATTTAGATACAATTCCCTCATGATGGTAGATGATATTCCTAAATTACCCTTTATACCTATTGTTTGACTAACCTAATTGAGGCGCGATATCAAACTCTCAGTACCTCACTTGAGGAATGAAGAGCGCAGACTGTTCTGAAAGGGTTACATACAGTCTTTCCTATTTACATGCCACTGACTTAGCATAATGGAGCATTGGATATTCCTCCATCACCCTCTTACACATATCGTTGAGTTGTCAATATTATAACATTCATGCTAATAAATACATTCCGTCTCAACATACACAAAGAATCACAAGATGAGATATTTATAAAGTAGTATATTCATTAAGACAAGTCTCAAGCACTATTCACATATCAGTTTCATTCCTACATGCTCTCTATAAAGAGCCAGTGAATGAAAACTTTCAATTAAGTGGGACACTTTAAGCAACCTTTCTCTACATTACAGAAACATATGCAGGCTTTGCCCTAAAGCCCCAAAAGTAATTGTCTGTGTGTCAATCGCTTAATAAGCTTAATTCATTCAAACCACGAACAGTGGTATGCTACATTCATCTTGGGACTGTCCACACCGGCCCGGATAGGCAAACTGAGATGATCCGAAAAGACTTCAGGTTCATCACCCATCATCTCACCACTATATTTCAAAGAACATTTTAACAAAAGGGATGGATGATATATGGAAGTTAAGTGGTAAATGATTACTGATTTATGTAAGCTCAAATCTGCTCATACACGCATATACAGAGTTGAACCCATCACTTCTCACATTCCACTGGCAAATCCATCTTTTGTAATTTATAATAAAACACTGGCAGGCGTCGAGAATATTCCACTCTGGGTGTTGCACCTCGGTCTTATCCATCCAGCCATCGAGGATGGACTCCAGGGTCAACAGCTAGGTCATTTCAGCCCCAACGCAATCAGTTCATAAATACAAATCCACACTCTCAATCCCTCTTAAATACATTCTTTCCTATTTACATACCATTCATTCAGTCCCTTACACTTTTTATATAATAATTAACCTAATCGAGAGTCAATGAATTTTGCCATTGTGCCTCTCACACTACACATTCGAGCAAATAAATACATTCACTCTCAACACTCGCCAGGGATACACAATTATCAGTTCTACATACAATAATCCTGTTTTCTCCAAGAATCGGAACAGGGTCCCAAAGGACAAGCACAATTGCCTGGCATTCCTTCACTCTTTAAAAGGAGCTAAGGACACCCTTTAATTAAGTGACACATATAGGTTCTCAAAAGTGTCCTATGTCAACCTCGCATGGCCTATGTTTAACCGGGTGAGGATACCATTCTTCTATGAGTCAGATCCTCATAGGGTGGCCTATCAACAGTACTCCTAATTCAAGAACTTCTTTACTTATTTTTTTCCACAGTGATCAAGTCCGGAGGTTGGAATGTCCCATCCTTAACCACCCCGTCCGCCTTTTCGCTACTCTTCAGACATATCAGTGTACCCAAACAAACCCTTTTTACTGAAATGCTTCAGTTTATGGTATCTCTCCAACAGGGTCGCTGGAGGACAACAGAATCTACTCTGAGGGCATGGGTTAAGGTAAGTAGTGTTTTATGATTAATTAATAAATAATAAATAAATAGCAGCCTAGATGTGTAGGGAGGATTATGCTGAATGATAACATTGTTTTATTCTACCTATTATTCCACGTTATTATTATTTTTAGTTCTTTTTATTCTTATGTGTATATTTATTTATTTCCTTATTTGTATTCTTGTTTATCTTAATTTCTTCTACTTAATCTATTTTTATTGTGTTTATTGCATTTAACTAATTCATTATATTAGTTTCTATTTAGTTATTAATTTTATTTCAGGAAAATTTATACTTTTGTTAACCGTTTACAATAATTTATAATCAGAGAGGTTTGTATTATTTTGCAGTGTATAAAATTATTTATTTATTTTATTTGTATACTTTAGTCTGTTACTATTATTATCATCATTATTACTATTACTATTTTGTTCTCACCACCTTCCATTAATAGAGTACCCATACCGTATTGTTTATTTTTTATTGAATACATTTATGTTCATATTATTATAATAATGCTATAAATTTATTAAACTATATTATCGTTATTATTGTTATTATTAATTAATAAATAAGGAAGAAGATTTTTGATCTTTGATATACTCATTTTATTAAGTAAAACAATTTTTAATTGCAACCTTGCATTAATGATGATCGTTGATGTATTTTAACATTTTTTTTAAATTCATAATCCATATAGTATTGCAGTAGAACTAAACATTCAAACTTATTTATAGCCATTTATAATAATGCAATACTGAATTATATAGAAAGTATACAGAAACACAGAAATTTATCCGATTTCATTGTAAAATTATTTGGAATGGACAATAGAGTAAAGCTAGGCTAGATTAGATTTAGCTAAATCGGATTGGAAAGTTTCATAATAATTTAAGATAAATGTCAGAAGAAAATTCATAAAAGAAAAAAGTACAATAAAGTGGTTTGTGTTAACTTGTAACGAGATTTTTAGTGTCTATTTAGTTATTAATTTTATTTCAGGAAAATTTATACTTTTGTTAACTGTTTACAATAATTTATAAGTGCTCTCCATGCCAAGAGCACCGTGTATACAGGAATTTTCTAAAATATTCTAATGGTAAAAACACTGAGGTGATAAGTCTCACAAGAAGAATTATTTAAAAAATAAAACATAATTAAAGCTTCGTCAGCGATGCCATGATAAATATACACTTTATGCTATCATAAAAACAATAAATATAGAAATGATTGAAATGACTTACAAATGTGGATGGTATGATGTAAAAAAATATACTAAACAAATAGTGTAAATATTCAAGTATCTTTTGAATTTTCGATTGACTCATTCAAGATTAAAAATATCTTGAATCAAAATTTTTGAGATGACCTATTATCCCACCTTCAAGAAGGAAGAATCATAAGATTAAAAATATCATTGAAAACAAATTTATTCTCAATCGAGGGCAAAAATTAACCAAATTTGATAAGGAAATCTATCTGGTCCAAGAAATTACAATTATATTAAAGCCATTAAAAAATTTTTAACGCACTATCAAAATAAATAGGAAATACAAAGAACAGACGTTTATAAGAAATCTTTATAAAAATGTATCAAATCAACTACTGAGAACAGCTAGGACAATCAAACAAAGAGGAAGTAGAAATTTTAGGAAGAATAATTAAAATACCGTAAATAGTACATCAAATAAATCATCAACTTAAAGTTCAATTATTGTTAGTTATCTGCAGGAAGAGTTCAATTTATCTTTTAGTTTAACACATCAGCTTTGTCCCATATTATATTTTTTATAAATGGTTTTAACATATGTGTGACTATTTGTTGAATTTCTAAAGCACCTAAAAAGGCTATAATATGAAATACTTATATTAAAATTTATATGTACATCTGTATTGTATTTTTCCAATCAGCAAATTGTAATTCACCCAGGCCCTAAAGATGAGCCAAATAAAGGTCAAATCGTTGGAAAAAAAGAAAAAAAAGTGT